ATTTCGGTGTCTTCCGAATCGAAACCTAACTCTGACTCCAGTGACGAAAAGAAATGATTCTGGAACAAAACTTGGACGTTTTAGTCCCAAAATATATTGGAACGATTAGTTTTTTTTTCCATTTTCTCGAGCAAATACAGAGAGCTGACTGAGGCGCCATTGCGTTTGGTTCCTGGGTAGACGTCATCAGCAACCGCTGCCCCAGACTCCCTAAAACGCGGTTGTGTAACACTTCAGGCGCGACTTTGAAAGGGCATAGAAAATCGAGGATTCAACCAAATTCAAAAATTTTTCGCCCAAATGCTTCGAATAATAAGTGGATTCGTTTTAGAGGAAAAAAAATTTTCGGGTCAGGTGCACTTTAATTGTGAACAGGAGCCTGTTCTGAACTGTTTTTGAAGTTACAATCGAAATAATTATATCAGTTACTTACACAATAAAAGAAAAACTCCATGAAATATTTTACTGACGATAACCGACTGACGTCATATTCCTTTAATTCTTCTTAAGTTCTCTGTTGTGACTCTTAGTGAAACCATGACTCGGTATTTGAACAGCTTTCGACTTCAACCTAATATCATATACCCTAAGGGGAAGCCAAAATTTTACTTTATGTAAAATATGAAACGAACTTTGAGTTCACAAAATATTTTCAGTCAGTCAGTTTTTTTTTCCCTCTATTTAGTGTGTTCATTGCCACTTTAAATGGTAGGGCGCGGATCCATACCAACTGACAGCTGCTTCTGAAGTTTGATTCAAAAGACTAAGACTGTAATTGTAATAAACATAAATGGCGAAAAATTGTCAGCAATGGCAATGTCTCTTTAATGCCATCTTCTTCAGTTCGTTTTTCATATCTTTCTTCAAAACAGCGTAAACCAAAGGATTTACCGCCGAGTTCATGATAAAAAGAACGTGAATAACGTTTTTCAAATTTTCCGAAGCGACACAAAGTTTGAAAACGAAACAGAAACAACGATAGTTTCCTCCGATGTGACACAGCACGAAAAGCAAAATAATTAACATAATCATTTTCAATGAAGCTCTCTTCTCCCTCTGCTTCTTCACTGTCAGTACATTTTCCTGTGGCTTGAAATTAAACCTGATCTGAGCCAAAAGCAGCGATTCCTTTTGCGCGATGTCTCTTGCTATAAAGCAAAGACGACCGGTGACAAATACAAACAGCACGCTTGGGATAAGCTGGAAGACTGATACTCTGAATGTCTCGAAGATAAACGTAAAAGAGGCATTGTTATTAGAATAAGTGAAAATTGAAGGTAATGTGAAGAGGATTAAAGGTACGATCCAAGCTGAAGCCAGGGATATTATTAATCGTTTCCTTGTCATGAATACGGTGTATTTTAAAGGCATCGTAATTGCAAGGAACCTGTCTGCTGTCAAGGCACATAAGTTTGAAGATGAAGAATATAAGAAGGTATGGCTGAGTTTGAACCAAAGCCCCGTGTGATCGATGGATAACTCTCGGGAGAAGCTTGAAATGAAAAGAGGTGGAAAGTAAGTCAATCCAACACACAAATCAGCCAATGCTAGCGACAGGACAAGCCAGTTTGTTGTAACATGCAATCTTGCCCTTGTGATTATTAAGTACATTACAAGTGAGTTTCCCAAAACGGCTACCACGGTGAAGAACCAACCGAGAATAAAAAACCACATCTTCAGCTTTCCTGATGTCGATATACTTAAAAAGCATATATATTAAAGACTCAATCACTATGGAATCCACTTTAATTGTTCAAACAAGGTCCGAAGTTCTTTAGTGAAATCGGCCGTTGATGAGGCGGTCCTCAGTTGACAACTTTTTCAGGATTTCCGGGATGTTGAAAAGCACAAATGTTGAAATCCTTTTCAGTGGAAAACGTTAGCGTTTCTTTAGGCTTGAATACGCTGTGGTATGAAATAACGAGCCAATGCAAGATTAGCTAGAGTGCATCACACACCCGGATCACACAGTTTTAACACGTTCCTGTTTAGCTTAAATACGTACATTGAGCCTATGGAGTTTTCAGATATATATTGAGAAGCGCGGAATAAATTGTATTTTTAATATCGCATACGTTTTATGTCGCCAGCTGTTCTTTTGCGTAATTAGTTTTTCACTTAAGGGTGTCAATAATAGCCAATAGAAACTCCTAAGTTTTTAACTTGTTAGTCACGTCCACTTTACAACGTGGCATTTATGAGGCTTTTATAAACAACGCTCGAGGACCTGCTATTTTGTTAGACTCGCCAGTTTTACAATTAAGCTCTCGATTTCTTCTCGTTTAAGAGAACGTAGCGTAACAGGACAAGACTATTATATTATTCTGTTAACCGCAGAAAGAATTTGTTAATAGGAACTGCCAACCGGTGGGTAGGTAAGAATATGCCGTTATGACGTAGCTTGATTTTGAGAAAGCAGGTACATCCGATCGTCCTACGTGAGTGGTGTTATTTGTTTGCAGGTAATTGAACATCCTAAACTGATGTGCTTGGACCGAAGCCAATTCATTACACGTTTACGTTTGTTCAGCGGGCCAATAACTAAAATCAACCAATAAGATTGCTCCATTGCTGGTGCAATATTTTTCAAGTATTGGACCAGGCGCTGTTCCCGAGAGCTCCTTCGCCCCCATTTCACTGAGACGGTTTTTCGTTTTATTTTGGAATTGTTCAGTTTCCCAAAGAATCACTAAACCGCATTAAACTCTTTTTCTGTTTTCGTCTTCTTCTTTTTTGTTTCTGTTTTTTTAATTGGCGTGTCCTTTTTCTTTTAAGAACGTCGAACGTGAGTTAGCGACAGGTCTAATCTCAGGATTGCGCGTAGAATGAGTTTAAGGTGTCTTGTGATAGTTGGGTTTTTCTCTAAACATTTTCAGTCAATTAAAGAATCCCATATTAAACAAGTTGGCCCGCGACCGTGTCGGTCCTTGGTCTGTTTTCGTCGAACAGCTCATGATAAGTTTATCGACGTTTTCTCCCCGGGGGAGGGACGGGTGCTGACTCATCAGGCCGGGGCTTATCCCGGTTTCTGTAGCATGAAGCGACTAGGAATATTTCTACTCCCCCTGGATGGGATGCTAGTCCATCCCAAGGTTTCCCCCAGCATTAAACTTGCCGGTACCCATTTGTACACCTGGATGGGGAGAGGCACTGTGAGAGTAACGTGTCTTGCCCTAGAACACTACACAATGCCCCTACTCAGGGCTCGAACCTAGACCGCTGGATCCAGAGTGGAGCACAGTAGCCATGAGGTCACCGCGCCTCCACAGAAAAGGTCTTACTAATAGACCAATTTCGATACATTAAAATTCAGCCTAACGCAATAGACCTCAGCACGAGGCTCTGGGAAATAAAACCCACAAACTCTGTAGTTATTCTCCAGAGCCTCGTGCTGAGGTCTACTGTTTTAGGCTTAATTTTAATACATTGTGATATACACCCCATGCATGCTTCGCCCCGACTGATATGTCATTTTAAACTTGCTGGTGTGTAGGCGCGCACGTAAGTTTGTTCAACAGTTTCGAGTTTTTTTAATCCAGAGCAACAGAGAATGTCCTTTTTTCAACTTATCAGGAATTTTATCATCCCTTTGTTTCCAAATGTTCCTCCGAGGCTCCAAAAAAACCGAGTAAACTTCGCTCTGTCATAGATTTTCTATAGACCACGTCCAGCCACTGTATGTTGACCACACACTATTAAGGGACCGTTCATTTTTTATAAGGTAGGGGGGGCTGGTGGGATTTGGGGGGGGGGCATGCGAAAAAAATGGCTTTCGAGGGGGGGCCATCCCA